CGTTAGGCTGGGAGGACAAGCTATCGGTTGGACATTGTTTCAATTTCGGGATTTACCTTTCTACCTTATGAATAGGACTTTCGGGCGTTAAAATCCATACAATTTCGCTATCATATTGTGTTAGCTGCTGGCTGGTTACGGCATGGAGATATGAAAACGATATACAGTAAGCTTGACCTAGATTGTAGATCTCTAACACTTCAGTGCCTCGGGCAAATATCTGCCAACACTTCAACAGAACACAGCATACTTTAAAAGAATTCACAACACCATCCCATACACTCTCTAATCCACCAAAACCCAACTACAAGAACCCTTCCAACCCCTCCATCCTCTCCACAACCTCCCCCTCAGCCCCCTCTCTCGCCCCTTCCGCGCCTCCTCACTCATCCTCTTCACAATAAACTCCGCAGCCAAATGCAACGGACACACGCACTGCTCCAGCCCACGCCACCGACACAGCACCCCCATCCCACCGATACTACTAGGCAGTGCAACCCCCCGTTCCGTCAAACAAGCATTAAACGTCTTTCCAACCCACCATAGCTCATCAGGAACATTATCATTGCTAAAATCCCCAGAAAGCAGAGCCTGCGCTAACCTCCCCTCCGTCGGATCCTCCCCGAAAGGACCCATTACATTACTGCCGAGATCCTGCAGCGAGACGAGGAACTCATGAGCGGGGTGTGCGATACAGGCGAAGTCAAAGTCGATTAGGGCTGTGAGTTTGCATGTGGTGGGGTCGATGAGGATGTTGTTCATTGCTTGGATATCATGGTAGTTTAGTTAGTTAGTTCCTCGGTGGGTAGATAGGGTGGTCTGTGGGGTTTGGGGAGGATTACTCAGGTCACCGTGGATGAGAACTCTGGTATTAGGGTCCGAAAGACCAGGGAGGGAGAATTTATCGATGAGGGAGTCGAGGCGGTCTCGGATTCCATTGCTTCGCCATCCGTTTATGATAGGGCTGGAATCGGCATCGTGTAGCTCGTGCCGTAGGCGTGCCTTGAGGAGCTCCGCATATGTAGACCACGGTCCGCCATTCGTAGTGGTCATTTGCGCACTGATGATTCTGCCGTCGGTGGAGGATAGACCAAGTCCACCGTAGGTGATCCCCGATGGGAGTGGACATTTCCGGAGTCCAGCGAGTATATCTGCGACTTGCTCGATGATTGATTTCTTGGCTGTCTCGGACTGAGGAGGGAAGAACTCGTCCAGTGGTACGCCGGACTTGTATTCCATTAGTGTCCAGGGTAAGTCATCTGGATGAGTAGGCTTTGAGCAAAAGGTATATATTTTGGGAATGAGAGAGCCTAATCCGGGACGATGTGACTCGAGACCCTGACGGGCGAGAGACATGGCGGCGATTTCGTTCTCGATGCGGGATGCGTGTGGGTTGATACCCATTGCTAGGGGGTTGCTCATCCGGAGGATGTAGGTTGTTGTTGTTCCGTCTGGTGGAGAGGTGGTGTAGGGGTTTGGGGCGTCATTTGGGGTGTGGAATGAGGTGCTTGAAGGGGGTTGGGATAGTTCGAGCTTGTAGATGAAGTTGTTGTAGGGACAGGGGCCGAGTTCTTGGTATGCGATTGGGGTGATGGTGGTGATTTGGAGGGAGTGGTGTTGTGCGATGCGCTGGATTTGCTCGAGGCGGGTGTGGTAGGTTTGGTGGTTGATGTCGGACATTGTAGAGTCAGTGATTTGGGGGGTGGTTGCTTGGAGTGACGAGGGAATAGTATTATGGCTAGCTATATATCTACAGTAAACAGTTATGAATCTGTTCCAAGAGCAAGGGGGAAAGCTTAGTATTGTGTCTGCTTATCTTTGCGCGAATCTTTCATATATAGAAATGCCAGGGGTATAGGGTTAGCTCCGCCGGAGTCCGATATCACCACAGACACAAGAGTAGTTATTGGTCTGGATGCCAAAAATACTATGACTAGAGGGAAACGTTATCTCCATGGTTCGTAACTTCTTATACATTTGAGGCTAGCTGACTGCCGTGGAGCTTGACAGAATGATGGAGGTGAATAGGCTCAAAAATATGGGGACGAAAGGATCAACGCTACACCCAAACATCGGAATTCGCCATTTCGCTTGGCTTCTCATAACATTGTCACTGTCACTCGCAGTATGATTTTGATCTCATTATTCCATATTCGCTCTCGCAGACCAAACTTCATTCAATAATGATCTCGCATATTACCGGCTGCCTGATTCTTCCCCCTCATCGTCACGCTAATTTCTCACCTCCAATCATTCTATATACGCCCACGTGATCTAGCCTCGCCACTGCTGCCTGAACAGCATACATAAAACACCCAGAAAGCAATCATCGTTCATTATCCAGCTTCAAGGTCTTAATACATAATAGCCATCATGAATCTTCAATCTAAAACCATCATCCTCCTGTTCGCCGCTCTGGTCATTGCCAGCGAATCATTCCGACGCTATCTCAAGCGCCGCCAATTCGCCCGCCGGCATGGATGCCAACCAGTCGCACGATCATTCAGTAAAGACCCCTTCCTAGGCCTGGACACCATACTAGGAACAATACGCACAAGGAAAGAGCACCGTATTCTCGAGCGAGGCTGCAATCTATTCCGCACACTCGGCAACACATTCACCGTCAACGAACTAGGCCGTAGTGCAATCGTGACCATCGAGCCCGAGAATATCAAGACAGTCCTCTCCCTCAACTTCAACGACTACAGTCTCAAGCACCGCTACGAGGCAATGAAGCCTCTCCTCGGCGAAGGCATTTTCAACACGGATGGTCACCACTGGGCCGCCTCTCGCGCGCTTATCAGGCCGAGTTTTGCCCGCGAGGAGGTGACTGATCTGCGCTTGTTGGAGGAGTTGATCCAGGATCTATTCGCATTGCTTCCAAGGGATGGGAGCACGGTGGACCTGCAGGAACTATTCTTCCGGTATACGATTGACTCCGCGACGGAGTTCCTGTTCGGACAGTCGGTGGGCGCGCTGAAGGAGAGTCACTCGGAAGCTGGGTTCGCGGAGGCGTTTCATTATGCTCAGATGGCGATTCCGGTACGGGGAAGGCTGGGGCCGCTTGGTGTCATTTTTCGTGATCGGAAGGCTGAGGAGTGTAATCGCATCTGTCGAGACTTTGGTCAAAGGTTTGTTGATGAGGCTGTCTATACGGCTGCGACGAGGAAAGAAGATGAATCGCCGGAGACGAAGCGGAGGTATGTTTTCTCGCATGAGCTGGCGTCACGGACTTCTGATAAGCAGCGCATTTTGGACGAGTTGATGAATGTGCTTCTAGCGGGGCGAGACACGACGGCCAGTCTTCTTGGGAATATGTTCTTCGTGCTGGCGAAGAACCCATCTATTTGGGCGAAACTGCGTGCGGAAGTTGAAACGCTGCAGAACCGGCCACCGACGTATGAGGAGCTGCGCGGTCTGAGGTATGTTCAATGCTGTGTAAATGAATGTATGGATCCCCATCTCCTCTCCATTTTGTTGGATATAACTGACCTGAACTAATAGCTCTGCGCCTTCACCCTGTCGTCCCACGCAACGCACGTGAAGCAGAGAAAGATACAGTGCTCCCTGTGGGCGGAGGCAAAGACGGCCTTTCCCCAGTTTTTGTCCCCAAAGGAACCATCGTCAGCTACAACGTCTACGCCATGCATCGTCGACCGGACATCTACGGTTCAGATGCAGAGGTATTTCGCCCTGAACGCTGGGAGGATGGGAAGTTGCAGCCGCGCTGGGGCTATTTGCCGTTCAATGGCGGACCACGGATCTGTATTGGTCAGCGCTATGCCTTGACGGAGGTCAGCTATGTTCTTGTGCGGATGGTGCAAGAGTTCCGCAGCCTGGAGAGTCGGGACCCTGGACCCTGGGTGGAGAATTTGGGGTTGACGCTTTGTTCGAGGAATGGGGCGAGGGTTGGGCTGATTCCATGACATACACATTGATCTAGCTGGATAGTAATAAAATGAGATATGCAGTAGGAAGACGCATGCAGGGTCCGCGTCTGAGGAGGATTAGATCTGACCCGATAGTCACAGTGCTTATCGCCGTCTTACTTCAAACCTCTCGCTGATGTGCAGGTACTTTAGCGAAGCATAAATCTAACTTCAGTCATAGTAATAGAAACTGCTACTACTGCAACGATACAAATTAGCGCTTATGTCGGACGTTAGCGTATTTATTCCCTCTCCTCGTTGTGGTAGACTAATTACACTAAATTCTGACAACTCGCAGAATACGAGGGGTTAGAAAGACAACTGGCATCTCACACAACCAACGAGAAAGAGGCATGGAGACTAGGCCCTAAGATGTTCCGTTCAATATGCCCCTGGCTGTGATAATCTCCCATCGACAGCAGAGAGAACCGTCTCCAATGATTACTTCAACGACGTTACTCGGAGCTACTGCATGTGTCGCTAAAACCGGGTAGATCGGAAGAGGGGAGAGAGTTGTAACCATGTAAGCCTCTCCTCATTTAACCTAGACTGGGTACTAACTGTTTAGATTGACTAGCCAGTACTCCATTGGCCAGTTAGGGCGTGTCCTACGGCATGGTACATTGACCTAATTTAGCGCTTAACGGCTACTTCCCCTCTATTGTGAGTCTACCAGCCAAGGATAAGTCGATGTAATACACCCATTACATACTAATTGAGGACTGCATTGACTTGATCGCAGGATAATAGAGGCATTGAGATGTCTGTAATATTTTGGTATACTAGGCTGGCTGGCTGGCTGGATATGATCTCGCCCCGTCGGCCCTTTCCGCCCACAGCCTCCCCCGCCTGCCCTAAATCCTCTCAGGCCCACTTAGATTGGACGCTCGGGGACATCCTTAGTTCATCCTTGGCGTTGGACAGATAACCGAACAGAAGGGAAAGGTACGGAGCACTCGGAGTACGGAGTGGTCGGAGCTAAGATACGTTTCTATTCCTCCAAGTGTTTATCCGCGGAGTCTAGTTGCTTAGGGGTTGTCCTGTCCCGGTTGAGGGCCAACGAGCCTCAGCCTTGTCCTGTTCCTTCCCACACCCCTTCCTTTCTCGACTGGCCAGCACACCAAGCAGGGGTATCCACCCCTCTTCCCTCTCTTATGTGTCTTGTGCTTGTTGTCCTCCACTACCCTCTTCTTCCTTTCACCGGCCCACTGCCCCTCATTTGGCGCACATGCCTTCCTTCAAGTTATGCCCGTAGGAAGCGGGAGGATGGATAAGCAAGAGGACAACAACAACAATAAAGCAATTTATCTGCCAATGTGATTGAACACATCCCCATATTAAAGCCACATATTGGACTAAGTAACCTTGGCGAATTCTCTTACATTCTGAAAATCAACATTGCAAGCAGCTAAATCCACACCCAATTCTTCACAAATACATCTATCTACTCCCACTGCTTCACCAACTCCAGAATAGTCTTCGTCAGCTCCTCCGGAGCAGACAATTGCGCACTGTGACCCGTAGCCAGTTCCCTAGTGATCCACTTAGCACCCGTAGCCTGAACCATAGCCGTCTGGGCCGGGTAAGGCACCGCGCGATCCTCAGTGGTGTGGATGTAAGCGATTCTATCCTTGAAGGCCTCAGAGCCCCAGCTCGCCTCAGGACAGGGACTCGAGAAAGAAGTCAAGCCCTGACTAAGGGAAGTCTGGCAAGCCGCGTCGGCAAGGGTGGGTTCAACATCGTAGAAGAGAGGGGGCTTGGGCTCGTCGCATTTGAGAAGGTTTTGTTCTTTCTATTTTTTCATTGCTTCTCGTTACTTCTGGAAATGGTAAGTGGGAAGGAAGGAAGGAAGGAGCACATACATCCATATACATATGCGGGGGCAAATTTCCACCAAAAGAATCAATAACACTCAGTCCGTCACCACCACGAGGCAAAATGGTCGCGATGAAGATCTGGCCCAGCACGGAAGTGGACTTGCCCTGAGCGGCACGGTCGGCGGGTCCGAGTCCGCGCGCCGCCGCGCTAGCAGGCATTCCACTGTACGAGTGGCTGATCAGAATCACATCTTGGTTGCCGACATCCAGGAGAGGGAGGATCAGTCGGTTGCGCACGTAGTCGGTGTCGTCGGCCGCCGTGACTTGTCCTTGGGCGCCAATGCTGGGGAGGAGGCCAGTGAAGGCTCCGTAGCCGGCGGATTGGAGGAGGTGCAGGAGGTGGGCGTAGTGGGCTGGGTTTTGGGAGGCGCCGGGCACGACGACGAGGGCGGGCTTCTTTTTGTCGGCGGGGATGGTCATGATGTCGAGTGAAGTAATAATATGAGGGATTAGAAAGGGGAATATTGAGGTGAGTGAGTGGTAGTAGGGGAGATTACTTCGGGTGCTGGGAAGAGGGGGGTATGGGAGAAGTATTTATGCCTGTAAAGCGAGGGGAGCCCTACTTCTCCTCCGAAGGCCGGCGCTTACAGTCTACTTTAGTTGTGTAAGATGTTCTTTGTTCAACGGCTCAGTGGGTGAAATGAAAACACGTTTGTTGGATGGAGTCAGCCAGGGTGAGTGTGTCTATTGCTAGAACGGGAATGGGTAGCTCGAAGCCAGTCGAGTAGTCTGACGCGAATGACCCACTGTCCGCAACCACCCCTGTATGTTCCATCAGTTAGTGCTACGAAGAAGGGATGGCTGGCACAGTCACTCCTCTTCTTGACTGAGACTGCCGCTTTTCAGCGGGGGTTTATTGCTACTAAGCCCGTCTTCGAAATGAGATCATTGTTGCTACAGTGATACTGAACACCTTGGGCTAAGGCGACGTGACTACGATTCAATCCACATGATTTGATAACATACACTAACGCTACATATTTTAGAGATGATGATAAAGGCTGCAACAATTGTCCAAGTCCGGCATTACGCTTCACAACTCCAACAGTTCCACCTCGCTTGAGGTACTTGGTGTCAATTTCTTCTCGTGGCCACGCTGATGAGAGTTTGCCGACTGCATATGTGACTGGGGGAGGTTGTGCGAGTCGTAGAACTTGGTTGATCCCTCCTTCTTGCTGCTGAGAAGCCGAATCCATTGCTTGGGCCCTCGCCAGTTGCGGAGAAGAGGTCCCAGGGTAAGCATGGAGCCCACGACAATGAAGATGGGTGGCTCGAGTAGCGCCCAGAGAATATTATAAATAAAGGGCACTACAGAAAGACCACATATCTCGTTAGCAAACGCGTACGCCAAGAACTGAGAATGGGATGGAACCCGGGAAAACTTACCCTCAAACATGCTACTGATAGTCGCAGGCTCCTTAGTCCACTGAACGGCATAGTACAGTCGAACAAGTGATGCCGCCATGCAGCTATTTCACCCCAACAATCAACAATCTGACGGGATACTGGACAGGGAAGACAAAATTTACTTACGTGCTTCCCAAGACAAAGATCACAGACATGAATAGCTTCTTTGATTGATCCATCTGCAATTTCTGTACGGCAGCGATTGGAAGTGCCAGCGTCAGAAGATCGAATAAGCTATTGCCTGCAACGTAGCAGATAAGGATCGCCGACGCGTTAATATCGTACGGGGCAGTCGGGTCCCATTGCAGGTAGACCGGCCATTTTGAAAAGATAACCGCCAGGACAATCGCCAACGTGAAGCTGGAAATCAGTCCAATGAGCACATTGCTCGCCATGACAAACGGACGGGAAATGCCGAAGATCCGCCGGTAGAAGAAGAGCAAAGAAACTTTGATGACCCCCATTGTGGCGATTTGAGCATTTTCGCAAGCGAAGTTTACCTTCAATGCGAAGATGATCGCCTCCATGGTTGGCTGATACTCAGGGTCTCCGATGCCGGTAACAGCATCGGTGTAGTCGATGATAATGCTGATCCCACAAGAAAGAATCTAGTGGCGAACATTCGTTGTTAACAACATGAATGATGGGATGGGATGGTGAAAGGACTTACCAGGGCGAGGATAATTGTCCAGTCATCTGCACCCAGGTAGAGCTTGGAATATATCCGGGCGTAGACACGGAGTGCAACCGCCAGAATGGCCAGAACGCCTAGAATTGTGGTCACAATGATGATCGCCTTGGCCGTACTGGTAATACCATGACCTTCATAGTACAACATCTTGACAGATCAACTTGCAGACGAGCGGTAGGGAGAAAGAGGGGAACAAGCAATGATGATGGCAGAGGCGCGACAGCCAAAAGCCATTCCCTTATAATAGCCCGGAAGGAAAGAATGCATGTCTCTCGGCTGAGGCGTGAGGGCGCAGGAGACAGCCAGGCTGAATTAATGCAAAGTTAGCCCATCATCTGTCTGCCCCCGTCCGTCTGACTGTAGCGACTGTATAGCCCCCATGCGCCAGAGGCACACCACGTCTGTAACAGGGCTGTCGACATCGTCAAGTAAATCATACTAATGGTGGGGGCCGAAGGATTCGCCTGCAAATACGTGACAATGGCCTGTGAGAAAAGCTGCAGAAATCAAAATGGCATTGTCAGGCTAGGAAGAAACAATGTGGAGGGAGGGAGGGCTGCGCTGCAGGGTTACAACTCCTTCAAGGCAGCTCAGCTAGTGTATTGCACTGCCCGTCCAGCTTAGGGTACTCGAAGAGAAATACGAAGGATCATGGCGTCTCTGGGTCTCCAATAGAAAATTGCCAAGAAAGCTACTAATTGAAGCATTTTCGCGAACAGCATTTGTCAGGCGGCCCGAGGGAAGTCCACGCTTCTTAGTTTCTCATTACTCCGGGGAAAGGATGGGTCTAGTGCAGCGGCGATTTCATCTTATTCGATAGTCTGACTACGCACTAGGACACCGTGTCAGATTAAGTAGTGGTAATTCTTCAAACCGATCTGTTTATAGACCCTGAACTTAAAGTACTATCGACCGAATCAGTTTCCCCCGCACACTAGCCAGTTTCCACAACAACCCCTCTTTATGGCGCAAACTAGTGGCTTTAGCTTGCGTGTCTGCAGCCCGGAGGGCGAAGCCTGCTTACTACCTCGCTTAAGCACTGTTTCCATGTCAGTACACTTTTTGACCGTGCCAAGAATGGAATAGAGGGACTCACGTATCCTCGTAAGTGATGAAGCGACTGTTCAGGACAGCCGAAGGATCGCGTTCCTCGACTTCGTCTCTCTTGCTGACGGAGTCCTCGTACGTAATGAACCGACTGTTCAGCACAGCAGAGGGATCACGCTCTTCCACTTCATCTCTTTTGCTGATGGCGTCTTCGTAGGTGATGAACCGGGTGTTCAGCACAGCGGAAGCGTCACGTTCCTCGACGTCATCTCTCTTATTGATGGCGTCCTCATAGGTTATGAACCGTGAGTTAAGCACTGCCGAGGGATCACGTTCCTCAACCTCATCTCTCTTATTGATCCCATCCTCGTAAGTAATGAACCGCGTGTTCAGCACGGCAGAGGCATCACGCTGCTCAACATCGGATGGAGCTGCGACAGGAGCCGCTCTGACAGAGCTGGCCAGGGTGAGAAGGACCGCGAGTGCGCTCAACGCAGTACGCATATTGAAATAAAGTGGGAAGTCAAAGACTAAGGAGGGTGCTGATTTGGAGTTCAAGAAGCTTGAAGGAAAGAGGAAGAGATGGGTAGAGAAGTTGATTGCATCCGCCAGCACACAAGGACACCACGAACCTGACCTCGAACCTTATATATTCAGTACTCTTCGCCTTATTCTAGGTTTCCTGGTGTGCGCCTGCTTGCCAAGGAGGTTCCATACTAACCTCATCGGATCTGGAGTTCTTTGTGTTGGCGCCGGGCCAAGAGAATCGTGAGCGGCTGCATCGAATCCGTCCATCCTCACATCAGCCCATCGTAGACGTGTTTCGGCATTGACTCCAAAGCGGGGTTGGCGTAGTATCTACTTAAAATCTCACTGTACCAGGGTCTTGCAAATGAAGATGTATAGGGCCTTCGACTTCGTTGCTGATGCGGCAGGAGCGGTTGGTCAAAGGCCAATGATCACACCAAACGTCGAGTAGTCATTTCAGTCATGCATGAATAACTCTTGCCAAGTACTTCCGATCACTCTGTCGTTGCGACACACGGAAAACCGGCACCATTTGGCCCCCAATGGTGATACCCAGGTCGATGATGAGGTGCATTGATGTGAGTGTGGAAGGGTAGGGCGGATGAAGGTCAAACTCGCTCCGAGGAGAATCACACAGTCTTGGCTAGTTTGTGGACGCTCCCCCCTCCACCTCGCTTTTACCTCTGCATTGCCTACTCTCCAATGCAATCCCCCACAATTTGGAGGGTAATCTACGGAAAACTTTGTGCCGAGTTATCCCCTCCGGTGGTCTGCCTTCTCCCTCCACCCACATTTTCTGCGTTTTCCTAATCCTTCTTATCCCACCCATAGCCATCCGTCAACCCCTACTTAATCATGACCGGAGCCAGGCTAGAAGAGAGACAGAGCGAAGAGCGCCTCATATCGAGTTTCGACGAGGAAAACTTCCTCAAAGACAGTCGAAGTCCTTCCACGAGAAGACCACGATGGTGCCGATATCACCCCAATGGGACTCTGATTCTTTCTTTGTGGACTTTGTTTCTGTTCATAGCTTCTGCCTACCTTTGGTCAACAATAGCTCGTCATCGAAAGACAGCTGCCGCATGTCAATGCGATGACTACCTACCCATCGATTCTCCAGCCTTAGAAGCCCTCGAGAACACAGGTCATATTGAAAAGTTCGACGGCAGCTTTGCAAAGCCCAATGCTTTCAAGGGACCACCAAGTCCTGCTATTGATGCTGCCTGGGATGACATTACTTATGCCTCTGGTGATTCATCCCGAATGGACCCAATTATGATGAACACTAGGCTTACAATCTGTCCAATCTAGGTGGGGTCATCAACGTTGATGAGCAAACGCTTCAACATATCAATGCGTCCGAGTATTCGGTTGGTTTGGCTGACGAGCTCGGTGGCGGCTACATGGGCTCGGTGGAAGTTCTACATCAGCTACATTGTTTGAATATGCTCCGCCAAGCCAGTTACGAGGATTATTACAGGGACAAGCCGGGTCCGTGGGAGGATAGCCCGCACATTCTACGGCATCATCTTGGTAAGTTATGACGTGGAAGACGTCCGAACACAAAAAATAATTGAACAAATGTTAACAAATACCCGAAATAGATCATTGCATTGATATTCTACGACAGAAGGTAAGCTAGGAGGCTGTTCCGAGCTAATCGTTTCGCGTTATTCTTAATTCTTAGGCTAATGGTTGTGACCCGTCAAATAGTTGATGTGTGACGCGGACGTTGGTATTTTGACATATGTGTGGGTGAAGGGGCATAAAGACCCATTTCCAGACTTCAATGTGTATGAAACGTCCCCTGCCCCCCCTTTTTCCATCCATCAAGCCTCCAAAACATATAGCGTTCCTGAAAGAACAGAAATATGCAGGTACAAGGCTAACATTAAGTGGCATTCGCAGACACCATAAATGTCGCGATTTCCGCGCAGTGAAGCAATGGGTCGGGCAGCATCAGCTCTATACAACACCCGACCATGGCATTGAGCGCCTTCCTGGAGCAAAGGAGATGCCTAGCCCACCGTAGATACTTGAGAATTACACAGACTACATCTGCTACATATCTTAACTCGGAGTTTGAGAACTACAAAGTGCCCGCCCAGCAAACAGTAAGGGGCAAAGTCACAGCGCGTCTTATTTCGAATGCAGGCTTTGGCAATGTACCTCCTACATACTTAATTCGCGATACATCTATCAAACGAGCATGTTCTGAAGGACATTTGGTGCGAAATGCAGTTCACAAATATAGAAACACCTCCAACACCGCCAGATCACCTCTTCTGCGCCACAAGATGAGGAAAGATCCCACCCATTCTGACACGTTTAGCCTCGATAGTCTCACTAACAGAAGTCTTCAATTTACGCAGTTTCTCCCCAGTATTGCCGTTCTCAACTGCAGTTCCGTTCTGAGATTGTTGCTGTTCCATTCTCATGAGCGCAGACTGCAGAAAAAGGTTGACGGAGTCTGTGAGAAGGTCTGAAAATTGGAGGTTAACCTCTGGATCGGCATCCTCCTGACAGAAACCTCCGGGACGTAGATTGAAATGAAGAATATTCAGAGAATCTTCTCCATTGGGGCTTTTTAGTGACAGAATTCTTTGGAGCATAAAATGCGGCAGGCTGAAGAAAAACGAAGAAGGACCCAAGTCAGTCAACATGATTAGGCGGCGGCAGGAGTGTTAGAAAGTCTCTGAGGGGGTAAATACTCACTAAGGTACCAGATCACGAGCCCGTCTCTCCAGGTCAATGACCTCCAGTGCTTTGAGCATGTCGGGTGTTTCTGGGAACAGCTTGAAAAGTCGGGCTTCGCTTTCCGTCCACTGGAGATAGCCTCCTGGCTCTGTAGAAGGTCGAGATTAACATCCAGCCGTACAGGGTATACAAAGGTGGTCACTGTAAAGAGAGGCATAACTTACTCAAGAGTTGCAATGCATTCTCGAGCGCTCGAGATAGCTTCTCCTCCGTGATAGCGTAAGCAAGGCCACGGATATTGACTAGGTCAAACTGCCCATGATAGCGGGAGTCGAAAGGTTTGGTGCAGTCGTGCTGCACAAGTTGGATTCCCGGGGTGGGGTTTTCGGGGAATGCGGCTGCGTTCAAGTCAAAGCCAACAAGAGACGGTAGGGTGTTGTCAACGGCTGGAGATGGTAGAATCTGAGCTACTTCCCGCAGCCAGATACCTGTTCCGCAGCCAATATCAGCAACCCCACCCTTTAGTGACGACAAAGGGATGGAAGGGTGTATGAGCTGATTGTTGAGAAAGGTCTGCTGGATGAGATTGTGCTGTCGGTTCAGACGCTCGTGTTCTTCCGTTTGCTTGGAACGGTGGGAGAGGACGTATGTCCGGTCATCGGACTCCACGGTAGAAGGCATGGTGAGGGAAGAAGGAAGGTATAAATAAAGGTTGGTAGGTTTCTGCGGTGGAAGACAGAAGGAACTGAAGAGATGCAGACGCAAGGTGGGACGGCGAGGAGTGCTCCCTACTTTATATTGGTAGCTGTACGCTGTCGCACACTAGTGCTTATGCATAAGTAGAACAATTGAAGGTAGTCACTTGTCTAGTACCGCGAAATAAGATTCCCAAGTTAGAATAGCATCTGCTTTAGTCGGACCAATGGTATGTATGTTCCGAATGCAATGTACAAGAACCTATGCATTCTTGTGCACCAAGTCTTGGCACGGCCACACAATGGAGGCTTACTCCTAATAAGGTCCTAGCTCGTGAAGAATGACAAAATATATATATCTTGGTAAATCGTCTTCGCAGCATGTCGAAGAATACTGGTTAGTGGAGGGTGTATCGACCGTGCTGTGTCCATAGTGTGGAATCATACAGTATTCCAGCCAAGTCAATTACGACGAAGGAGCATATAATATATATTGAAAACAACACGGAGTCCATTCAAGCGCCAGAGCCACTTTGACACAACTACCCACGCTAACCCCTAATCCCCTTGGCGAATCTTCTCATACTCCGGCAAAGCCCACTTCACCATCCATTTCGATTCAAGAATTTGCTTCGTCGTGCTTCGATGTTCCGGTCTAAAAGCAAACATCGGCCGCAACATCGCAAAAATAGCATCTCTCTCTTCTGCATCAAACAAAGGCATTCCTACTTCCTGTCTAGGCAACTGCACACTATCCTCAAACCGATCATCCCAAGAGCGATATGGATTCCGTTTAGTTGGCCTCCCATCCTCGGTAAAATTCTCTGGTCGCGCGTTCCATCTGTTCCACCATTCGGGAGGCAAGATACCTAGAGTGTCTACATGCTCACGGGTCATGTAGTCTTCCGTTGCGAGAAATCCTTCAAAAAGTGGCCTCTGAGCAATAATAGTCCAAATGGTGCACGCAAGAGACCATATGTCTGATGAAAATGACAGTGGTTTATTTGGTTCAAAGCGAGCTTCAGGAGGACGACTGACAAGCGGAGTGTGAGATTCAGACTTTGCTTCTTTGGAGGCAAAGGCCTCGCCAAAGTCTGTAAGTAGGATTCTGGCCTCTGGAAGTGTGATTTTCTCGCTTGGTTCTCCAAGCCAGATGGGTGCAATGCCGTGGGATGGAACACCAGGAGGAAGCGGTTTGCCATCTAGATGAATCACCGGATCGAGCTCGGGCGCTCCATACTTTTCATAAAGTTGTTCGGGTGAGAGCTGATCAAAGCTGGGTGGGGTTTTGAGCAGGACATTGCCCATGTGAAGGTCACCGTGGATGAACCCTTGGGCATGCACATAGTCTACCGTCAGGACTAGCTGCGCAGCCAAAGCCCGGGCGACATTGATCTGGAATAAGCGGACCCATGACCCATCTTTCAGATCCGAGAGGCTAGCCCTTGCGGGAGAGGTAACATAGCAAGTGTGTTCTCCGTTTGGACCATGGATGGTGAATTTATCCAGAATCAACGGAAGCATTTTTTTGCCCGGATTATTGGTCGGAACATGGTGCGGATGCGTGAGACTGGCTAAAACACCCGCTTCCTTGGGATTTGAGTCGGCTGTGCAGACTTTCACTGCAACATACTTATTATCCTGCTCATCACGGGCCAGCCATATGGTGGAGTAGGAGCCGTGTCCTAGCTTATGTATTATTCGGTATCGGCCATGAAAGTGATCTCCGATTTGAATTGGGTGATAGCCTCCTGGGCAATAGTATTCGATCCTCTCCACACCTTCGAGGGGCTCATATAAGACGTTGGAATTGGGATGGCCACCTGTGGGTGTTGATCTGGACGCGTTGCTAGCAAAGACGCGACGGGTTGGCATGCGCGTTATGTGGATAGGAGATATGACATGAGGAGACAGGGTCAGCGGTCGCAATAATCGAATTGATGATAATGACAATCCTTTCATGGTCATGATGTTCACGGAAAGATTCTACTGTTGCCACTACTCAAGGTGATTCGCCCCTAGTG